CTTGTAGAGGAATCACAAGGTAGAAGAAGCAACGTGAGAGCGTGAAGAGGACATGAGGAATCAGTACCCCCATCTCTTTGTGCAATAAAAATTTGAGGATGAATTTTCTTAAGGGGGAGATTTGTAACATCCTCAATACCGGGTTAGTGACCAAATTGTAATCTTTAGAATTAAGTGATTAAAGTAGATTAATTGAATAGTTTAGGGACTTATATGGAAAATTATGTGTAGGACTAAATAGAACAGAATGAAGAATGGAAGGGCATAATGGTCATTTGGTAGAAAAGATAATCAATTTGAAAGAGGATATATATGGTTCCACGTGGATTGAGGAAAGGAAAATATCAAAGTCTCTAGAGTTTTCTTCTTCTTCCTTCTTCCTTCTTCCAGCCATGAACTCAAACTTGCTAAGGTGAGTTCTCTTGTTAGTTAATTATTCATTAAATTTAAGTGTGGGTTATGATCCTTAGGTGATACTTAAGCTTAAGTTAACTTTAAATCAAAGAATGAAGGAGTTAGGAGAGATTAAAGATTAGGAGTTTTTAAATGAAATCTTAGAAAAGAGTTGATAAGTATAATTGGAAGTTGAATTTGACTTGTCATAAGTCTGAACAAGAAATAATAAGTGTTAGAACTAAGTTTGGATTACATGGAAAATTTAGTAAAATTCTTAGTTTCAAGAAATTAAATGAGATGTTTAAGTTTATAAGGTGTCAAGAACATAAATGATAATTAAAATGGTTGTAGTTGAGTTTGGGGGGTATGAAAACAGCTTTTCATATAGAAATTTAGTGAAGTGTTGAGGATTTTTTGGGTGAAAGAAGACTGTTCTGGGTAAGGGGTATCAGTACCTGATGAATAGGTACCAATACCATAAGACCATTTTAGATGAACATCTTCATGAAATATCGATACCTTAGGTACCGATACCATAGGGCATGTATCGATACCTGGAAACATCAAATTTAATTTAGGTATCGATACCCGAGTAGGGTATTGATACATTCTAAAGGAAGTATTGGTACCGTACATAGGGGTATCGTTATCACTTAATAAGGAAATGTGAATTTTTGGTTATCAATAGTTTAAGTTATTAAGATTGAGTTATATGTTTAGGCTTCTGATAAATGTCTTGGAAATTATATTTATGTAGATACTGAGCCTAAACGATTGACAAGTAAGATCGATCGAGAGAAAGACAAAGAGATATAGGTGAGTGCATATTATAGGTTTAATTCGATGGGAATAAGACTTGTGATAAGTCTATTTCCTATATTCATTTTTCATGATTTAACAGTTATGAACATGCATAAGTTATGATCATTATAGACATATGCATGAGTTATACATGATTATATGATTCGATATATATGTTATTTGATTCATGTGAATACATAAGAATAGCATATGTTATATGATATGAGATAGATGTTTACACATACATTTGGTATGTGATAGAAGAGAATGAACATGTGATTATAAAAAAATGATATGAATATATGAATATTTACAACATATTGATAGTGCCCATGATATGTGACATGAGAGCTATATATATAGTTGGCATGCCAAGAGTCGAGGGTTACCTATGTCTTTTGAGACATATAGACAGTTACCTATGTTCTTCGGAACATATTGATAGGTCCTTCGGGAAATAGATTTCATATGCCATTATACGAGTTGTGGTGACAACATATGTATACACAACCTCATAGTACTCGTATACCTTGAGTTCTCAATAATGTACATGGGCTTATGAAAGATGTATAGAATATGTACAGGTTTACATGTTAACATGTTATTATTGTTTATACTGATTCATATATGGCATTGTGAATTTATGATATAATATGCATACTTGTCATTTGATAGTTGATAGAATGTTCATATTTATAGAAATTCCTTATTATATGTTTATGCCTCACTAAGTCTATGACTTAACGTGTAAGTGCTTTACACGTAGGTACTAAGAAGCACGAGGACCAGACTTGAGACCTGCAGAACATCATACCTTTACAAGAGATCAGATCATAAGTAAATCACACAGTAGGTATTTTGTTGTATTAAAGGTGTTGGCATGTAAACAAATGTAGATTTACATATGATCTGATCGGTTTTTTTAATGTGTCAAAGATATTTATGTAATTATTAACTTTATTTCAATTATTTCAATTGAAGTTTGAATTTTCATGATTATTATATATTTTTAAAGGTTTTAATTAGTTAATGTGACACCTCAGATCCGTATCCGAATCGGGTACGAATTAAGGGTATTACATATTCCTTCTGTGTTTCTTGGCTACTCATCAACTCAAAAATGTTACCTTTTATTTGATCTTGAAAAAAAAATTTTGTCAATCGTGATGTTGTTTTTCACGAATACGTTTTTCCTTTTAGTTTCCCTAAAAAATTTGATTTTTTCCCTGCTCAATCTTATGTGGATGATTCAGATTTCTTGGTTTTGTCTCAACCTCCTATATCTCCTGGTACTTCATTATCACCAGATTTACCTGAATTGTCAGGTTCATCTGTTGTTCCTTTACATAAATCTTCACGAGCATCTAGACCTCCAATATGGCTACAAGATTATGTGTGTTCTAATCAATATTCTTCTTCTTTTCCCACTTGTAAATACCCTCTTTCTCACAACATTTCTTATGACCATTTACATGTTCATACTCAAAATTTTTCTTGATACTACGTCATCCTTTGTTGAACCATAATCTTATTCTGAAGCCATTTCAAACCCGGTTTGGATTAAAGCCATGCTAGAGGAAATTCAAGCCTTAGAAAACAATGGTACTTGGTCTGTAGTGTCTTTTCCTCAAGGAGTGACTCCCATTGGTTACAAATGGGTATTTTGCGTCAAATACAAGGTTGATGGTACAGTTGAGCGTTTTAAAGCTCGTCTTGTTGCTAAAGGTTATAATCAAAATGATGGTGTTGATTTTGTTGAAACATTCTCTCCTGTAGCAAAATTAGTCACTGTCAGGACTGTTCTTGCTCTTGTTGCTATCAATGATTGGCCTTTTTCAAATGGATGTTCATAATGCTTTTCTTCAAGGTGATCTCTTTGATGAGATATACATGAAGTTGCCTGAAGGATTCTGCAGCCAGAGGGAGAATATGGTATGTCGGCTGCGAAAATCTCTTTATGGTTTGAAACAAGATTTACGACAGTGGAATTTAAAGCTTACTGAAGCATTGGTTACCGCATGATATCAACAGAGTAAGTTTGATTATTCAATGTTTACAAAAAAAAAAAAGACTTATTTACGTAGATGATCTCCTATTAATTGGCAATGATTTAACTTTGATTAATGAGTTGAAAGATATGCTAAATCACAATTTTAGGATGAAAGATCTAGGAGACTTGAAATATTTCTTGGGGCTTGAGGTTTTGAGGTTAGAAGAAGGGATTTTGTTGAACCAGAGGAAATATGCTTTAGAATTGTTAAAGGAGACTGGTCTTGAGGGAGTTAAACCAACTTTGACTCCTTTAGAACAGAATTTGAAGCTTACCTCCACAGAATATGATGAACACTTGCAGCAAATAGAAGATGAAGTATTAGTTAAAGAGAAATCAACATTTCAAAGGTTGATTGGAAGATTAATATACCTGACACATACTCGGCCAGATATCACGTTTATAGTTTATCATCTCATTTAGTTTATGCAACAACCAAAAAGAACACATTTAGAGGCAACATTGAGAATTGTTCAGAATTTGAAGAAAGAGCCGGGGACAAGGGTTATTGTTAAAGAAAGCAAGCAAGAGCCAATTGATAGCGTATTATGATTCAGATTAGGCTTCATGTCCTATATCACTTAAGTCAGTTACTGGTTTTTGTATAAAATTGGGTGATTCCTTGATATCCTGGAAATTAAAAAAAAAGCAAAATACAGTAGCAAGATCCTCGGCAGAAGCTGGATATCGAAGCATGACAATTGTTGCAGTTGAAATAGTGTGGTTGAATGGTATTTTGCAGGAGTTACAAACTAATGTTTCACGACCAGCAAAGTTGTATAGTGATAGTAAAGCAGCTTTACAAATTTCAGCAAATCCAGTGTTTCATGAAAGATCCAAGCATATTGATATAGACTGTCATTTTGTTAGAGAAAAGATACAAGAAGGGTTAATCAAGACTGATTATATACCTTCTGCAGAACAGCTTACTGATGTTTTAACCAAAGTACTTGGGATACAACAACACAATCATTTGGTGCGCAAGTTGGGGATGAAAAATGTTTTAATCCCTCAACTTGAGGGGGAATGTAGAAAATAGTTGTATAGTTATTATGTTTGTGCAATTAGAACGTTAGTTAGTTTGTAAGTCAATTAGATATCTAGTTCTTGTATAAATACATTTGTATGTAAGTTTATGTGTGTGAGAAATAAAATTGAGGTATTAATCATTTTAACAAGATGTTCGTTTTTCAGCTTAAATTATTAATACTCCATCTCTTAAGTTGTATTAATTACTAGAGTTCAAACATATATATATAACGTGTGGCTGGTGAAGAATTAAAGTAATTTATGTTATATTAAAGGACTTAGATCATAGTCTGTAATTTACTTCTAAAAATTAAAGATAAAAAAATACTCAGCATAAACTATGATGAATTTGGGAGTAAAATTGAACTTGTTGCCGAGTCAAAACATTCATAAAGATTGTGTATGAAGCAAGAAGTAAAATGAAGTTGATTTCTTATTTTCAAAACAATTTTCTGACCAAAACACGAGGTGAGAGATAGAATTATATATAATGTGCGATGATGATGATCTCATTGACATGTACCGGTGCTGCTTCCAGGAAATAACATAAAACATTAAACCTTAGGCAGCAAGTCAATCCATTCTCATCCATTAATAATAGTCAAGAATTTACATGTCTTACTTTGACTAGCCCCATGTTGATGATGTATTGCTTGCCAACTCACTCTATTTTCACACTATATAACTAAACACAAGTTCAATTTAATAACTATGAACTAGCAAACAAGCCCTTGGAACCATGAGCGAAACCCTATTTGGTTCTTCCTCTGAGTGGATGCAACTGAATCAACAAACCTTCGATACGTCGTTCGGATTCTCCGATACGACTGCAGTCACTCTCACCGCAAACAGCTTAAGCCCTGTAGTAATCACCGGTGTGGACCACTTGGCCCCCAAGGGCTTTATATCGAAGCCTATTCGGAGACGGTCCAGAGCTTCTAAAAGAACGGCCATCACCCTCCTCAATGCCGATGCCAAAAACTTCAGATCGTTGGTGCAACAATTCACCGGCTGCCGCCATCGTAGCACCTCCATTTCGTTCCGCGATAGCACAAGAGGCCCTGTGAATATAAATTTCGCGCATGCAAATGCTAAGAACGATCACCACTATAATTACAGCACTGCTTCGGGTCATGGTACGATACTATCGCAGCCTTTTGTTGACACCAAGCGTGAACAACAACAATATGAGTGTCATTACCAGTACCAGCAGCAACTGTCAAATGAAGAACAAGAAGGCGAAATTTGTTTTGAAAGAATTACGTTGCATGATGATTTGTTTGCACAAGGGTTTGTCATGGATGATTTGCTTTTCCTTGCATGAGGCTTTAGCTTTGTTATCAATCCCTTCATCATCTTACTGTGTATTCACCTTTGGTATTAAATTACTGTATTTATTGCTTGTAGTAGTGATAGATGTAGTCAATAAAAGTAACTACGTACTGAATCTGAATTGTGTTCATCTTCATCGTTAAGTGTTTAAGAATTGTCGTAATTGAAGTGTTGTACCTTTCTCGTAAAAATAGTCTCCGTACATCAAGAATTTTCGGAGAATTCTTCCGCAGTTAAAGTTTCGGGGAAATGTTTTCCGACATTGGGTGTCAAGTCTCTAGTAGACTCACATGATCTGATCTATCAGAGTTAATATTAATTGTTAATTGATCATACCTGTTAGGTTTGCTAACATACGAGTTGCCATCATGATCATACACGTGACATAAACACTAAAGATCATTATAAATGTCACACCCCATAAATTGTTATAATATAATAAAATAAAGAGAAAATAACCTCAGTGACCAAAAATGCCTTATAATATATGAATTTAACCAACTTTTTTTGGATTTGCCAAAATGACCAACAATGCGCAACGCGAACTCCAATTTCGCAACCCAGTTTCCAATTTCGCAACATGAATATGTAAATCGCAACGCGAATTTGTAAATCGTAACACAGAAGTCAAATTCGCAACAATATAGTCAAATTCGCAACGCGATAGTCAAATTCGCAACGCGAATTTAATTTCGCAACAGGTTTTAGTTTCGCAACACAAATGTTTTGGGTATATAACAACGCAGCAGCAGCAACTCATAACCTAAATCCCTAAATCGTAACTCATTCCATCTCCATCTATCACTCTCTCCGGCGACATCCGTTCCTATATCCAACGACATCCTTCCCCGTCTCTAATTTTTTTTACATAATTTTATTTCTATATAATTTTTCAATGATTTCTCTCCCAAATTATCAACTATCAACTTAATAAAGGTATGTTTTTCTCTAAGTTAGTGATGATATCTAGTTTATAGCTCGTTTGTTTAGTAAATTAATTTACAATTTGTAGAATGAAATCATCTAATGTTGATCATGTTTAGATAGATTTGTGTTTTGGAGGGTCATGGGAGAATGTTCATGGTGTTTTACAATATGTGCCTTTACCCATGAATCTTCAACTAAAACTTTCATTAAAAAAGTTAACTTATAAAACTCTAATGTTACGTGTTGCAAAGAAATTGAATTTAGAGCCTCTAAGTGGATTTAGGTTATCTTATCAGAGAAAAGGTAAAGTTTATTTGTTAACCGACAATGAAGATGTTGAACGATTCATTGCTTACATTAGTGTTTCGCAAGAAGATGATGTTACATTGTATGTTGTTGAACCTAGAAGTAGTGAAGTTGGGTCAGTAGCGGGTAGTAATCAACTAAGTTCTTCAACCCAAAATTTAATGGTTCCACCACAATTTCATCACCAAGCAAATTTTTTTTAACCACATTTCCAATACCAAACACAATATCAAACACAATCTCAAAACCCAAAACCTTTTCCGAATCCAAATCCCAATCAACTTTCAGCACCAAATTCCGGTTTTCGTATTGACCAGTTAGACGATTATGAGCCAACAGAAAAAATTGTGAGTACTAGTTAGTATTCAAAATTTAATCTTGGTCAATACCCGAACTTTGATCTTGGTCAATACTCGGATTTTGATGATGTGATGGAAGAAGAAACAGACCCTGCATGTAATGATTTTGATATTGGTCAATACCCAAATTTTGATGATGAAACAGCCGCTGTCGAGGAAGATGTTGTTGATGATAATGAGGAGGAAGTTACGACTGTGAATGAACATGTTGAACATCCATTGTGTAATTCATATAACCCTGAAGAAGAAAAAGAAGAATAAGAAGTCCCCGAAGAAAGGAAATAGAAGAAAATGCCACGGGAGTATAACTGGAATATGCCAGAATTACTTCAGATACCAGAAGAAGAGTTGGTAAAGATAGCAGTTGATTGTTACACAAAAGTTATTCGTATCAAGAAAGATGATTGTTTTGATACAAAGGAAGACTTCAAGATAGCTTTGTATACGAAATGTGTGGAAGATGGCTATCAACTAAAAGTTAACAAATCAAGCAAAGATTGTTTCGAAACAAGGTGTATGATTAACAAATCAAGCAAAGAGGATAAAAGATTGCGAAATGTTTCAAGTTAGGACTTTTATTGATAAACATACATGTTCAAGAACCCAAGTTTTTCCTCACCATAGATAGGCAAACAAAAAGATGTTGGGTGGTTTTCTGGCTGAGTTAATGTTTTTGAATGGAAGGGTATATCAGGGACATAAAATTATGACTGACATGAATGCTCGGTTCAAGATTAGTATCTCATATTCTCAAGCTTGGAGAGCCAAATGTTATTCCTTGGAATTGTTGAGGGGGTCGCCAGAAGCATTGTTTGCCCAACTGTCGGCTTATTGTCACAATTTAAAGCTGAAAAATCCTAGGTCGGTAACTCATATCAAAACAGATAAAGAAGGATGCTTTGAGTTGTTGTTTATCGCCATTGGTGCTGCGGTTAGTAAATAATTATAATTTTGTTGACTTATTTTTGTTAGTTGCATGCATTTCACATTTAAATGATTATATTTCTTGTGTATATGATTTTGTAGATTCGTTCATTTATTACTTGCATGCGCCCAGTTTTATAGTTGACGGAGCACATTTGAAAGGTCGATACCTTGGAGTAAACTTATTAGCAGTAGCCATGGATTCTAACAATGGGATACTGCCAATAGCTTACGGGGTTGGAAAATCTGAAACCTCTGATTTATAGACATGGTTTATGGGGCATCTTCGGGATTGCATAGGTTCTATTAGCAATCTGACAATCATATCCGATAGGGCAACTCAATTGACAACGCTGTTAGAAGGTGTTTCCCAGATGCTTTTCATGGAGTTTGTGGTGTTCATTTGTACAGAAATCTAAAATCAAGGTCTTCTGGTATAAAAAATCACAAATGGACATACTGGAAGGCTGTAAAAGCTTATCGGGAAGTGTATTTTAATAAGCATATAAATTGTTTAAGACGTGTTTTTCCTCAATGTGCTCAAACACTAGAAGATGTCGGGTTTGAAAGATGGTCAAGAGTACATCAACTTGGAGCAAGATATGGTTTCATGACATCTAATAGTGCAGAATCAATCAACGCTCTAAGTCGTCATTCCCAGAAATTACCCATTACTATGTTAATGGAGTTTTTCGAGCCTCTATTCAACAATGGTACTACAAGAAAAGAAACCATGCATGTATTATTTCTTTAAATTCATAACTTATCATATGTTTTACTAAGTATTATTTATTTAAATTTACAAGAACATTGCAACGTCGTGTTACACCATAGAATGAAAAAAGATAACGAAACGTGTTGTGAAGTCAAAGTCATAGAGAGTTGAACCATGTTCATACACTTTGTTTGAAGTATTGGACAATAACTTAAATGGGCTTGTCGATCTAAATGCAAAGACGTGTAGTTGTAAGAAATGGCAAACATCTGGTTATCCGTGTGTCCATGTTATAAAAGTTGCTCTTCATCTAAACCAAGATGATTCAAGCGCATACGCTATGGATTGCTACACTACAGAAGTATATCGACAGAATTATGTCGATATTGTCTACCCATGTCCACATCCTTCTGAGTGGGACATACCAGATGACTTACAAACAGTTTTGCCACCAGTCATGGACAGCAGGCTACCTGGCTGACCAAAAAATCATGACCGTATACCGTCTAAGGGTGAAGAGAATAGGATATCGACATGTAGTCAGTGCAAGGAAAGTGGTCATACAAGGTTGACATGTGGATCACCAGTGCCATCACAATCATCTTTTCCTCTGCAAAAAAACGGATCCTCATCAAAATCCAAAGCTCATATGGTGCCAAGCAAAAGGAAATCAAAATCGCAATCAAAATCAAAATCCCAATCACAACCGGCTTCACCTTTTGGGACTTATTAACTTAGGTGATTTTTAAATGCAAATGTTGTATTATGTGTATTTTATGTGTGAATGCATACATTTTCAGTTAGACATTCATTAGTAACTTGAGTTTGAACATTGCTATGATATGTTCAGTGTTGGGATTTTCTCTTGTGTTTGATTGATTGGATAGTTGTTATCTTACTTCTTCAAGTGTCCTTAGCTTGTATTTATAGCTTGGAATGTGTTTGATGTTGTATATAACTTGATGTTGTATGTTGCGATCAACGCGAAAGTCAAATTCGAAACACAAAATAAGCGTTGCGATAGTCAAATTCGCAAACCGAAAATCGCGTTGCGAATTTGACTTTCACATTGCGAATTTAACTTTTGCGTTGTACATTATTTGAACATTGTTATGGGTACATTATTTGGAAAATAATGTTCCGAACTTCGTTAGAAATAACCCTTTTTTATCAGATTAATTTCATTTTTGTGGGTACATTATTTGAACATTGTTATGTATAAATTTGTTGTGTATTTATGTTTTGGTTTGATTATATTGTATGTATATTTTCAATCAGATGAGATGGCCTGTGTATAACAAAACAATCTATCTCTTCCATGTCAGTACTTTATTCCAACCATGTGACAAGTGTGACAACCCCATCAACTCACAACTCAGCTTTGAACTCAATCAATATTGTCTTTTAGCTTGATGGTTCATAAAGCATGTTACATGAACAGTATGAATCAATTATGCAATTTTCATGTTCAATTTAACACTGCATTTCAAGTTCATTTCATATGTAATTGGAGTTTGAATTTAAATTTCAATTTGAGTTGAATTTCAATATAAATTTCAGCTCCACTATAAATATTAGCCCAAGCCAATATGCATGTTATCATTGATTATTCCTAATTTCCATTGTTTTTTTTCAACTTTAAACGCGAGGGAAATATCGACCATCGTAATTTTTGGTCAACTTTAAAGCGTCAGAAACGTTTCAGGCGTATGATCTGGGTGGTATAGGAGAAATGCAACAAATGGCAACTAAAAATCTCGA